AACTGGGAGCTGACCACTTTGTGAGTTCATAATATACCCATAGATGATAAAGAATAGTATATAGATTTAGCCAAGCCTGAAAGCGGAGCTCCACCCACAGTTATTTATTTGGATGTTGTTAATAATTATAATAATCCAACAAGTAAGGCAAATTTTGGACGGTTTTGTAGTTTTGGCACGTAATTACACCGTATCCGCAATGGATTACAGTGTAATGCGCTAAATAAATAAATAAATAAAAAATAATAATGATAATAATAATAATAATAATAATAATAATAATTATTATTATTATTATTATTATTATTATTATTGTAATAATAATAATACGGCCGGGGGCTTTATGATGGTGTGTTAATGGCGCAAAAATTGGCCCTTAAATTATGGGCAGATTTCAGGGAAACCAGAGAGGAAGACGTAAACAGTTAATGGTCTGCGATATGCTGCTTTTCGGGTTTTCCCGGTTGAAGTACAGGTTCATTAAACTTGATTTGGTCATAGTAGGAAAATTTGATAGCGTCTATGTCAATCCTGCGCGGACCCAACGCACGCGTGGCGAACAATTGCTTGCGTGATACGCAGAACGTGTGCGCACTAACAAAAGTAAGCACCGTCCTTAACATTCACGAAAAGGGATTTACAATTCCAAAAGCCATCAGTCAGATTGTATAAAGTGAAACTTTTTTTTGTCTACCAGCTTCTAATTTGGCGCCAAAAATGGGTCGCCGGCGTCCGGCATAGCAACTTGCTCGTAGTTCGTCGAGTGTCGCCAGGCAGGATAATAGTTGCGTTATTTTGAACAAACTGTGCTTATTCCTGGTCAAATTAAACCCGGAATTCTCAAGTTAACTATTAAAAGAGTCCAAAGCAACTTTGGCATTGTCCTTAGTTTTGTTAGGTGAGAAGAAAATGGTAATTATTGTGTCGTTTTTGTAGGACACCTCAGTTTTAACTGCCGCTCGTACTGCGGGCGCAGCCGCCCTATGCAAGATTGTTCGTGGGTTGAAGGGTTGACTTTCACTTTTTTTCAAGGGTTGACTTTTTTTTTCATGACCTTAGTCAATGGCTTCTAGCTGGCAAGCTTTCTAGGTTTCTTCGAACGCTCGGTATACATAACAAAGACTGTCATGTGGATGTCGCCCTTCACGTAGCCCTGCGCCTGCACTCATATCGATCAGCGGATTCTCCCCACTCAAAAGGGGAGCACTGGGAACAAGACATTGCTTCGCATATTTTTGAGCGTCGGATTTAACCATTTTGAACAGAGTTTTCAGGTCTCAAGTGATTTTTCCTCTTTACTAGGTATCGGAAAAATTCGTGCTCAGTTAAAAACATGTCAGATCATAAGCAACATGTACAAGAAATTAAAGGCAAGACCTGCAGTTGAAAAATTCGAGCTTGAATGCCATGAAATGTTGTGAGTCATCTGATATATTTTTTTCTCATTTTTCATCGTTGATAGCGGTAGGCTTCTACCTTACAGGGTTGACTACAATTTTACAGTGTAAGTAAGCTTATTTTAAGCTAGGTTTTTGAGTCAGTTAGTGTAAAACGCAGACTGCAGTGATTTTATTGAGTCCTGGGACTTATCTCGTGAGAAATCATGCATCCCAGCCCAGAATCGATGAGTCCCAGTTCAAAACCGAATGAGTCCTGTCAGAACTCTCATGAAACTAGTCTTCCAGACAAAAAATTCTTCACTTTGCTGCAGGGAATTTTTTTCTGTTAAAATTAGTGCAAACATCACAATACATAAAGTTTTTCTCCTCATCATATTTCAACCAACCATTGGATTTTAGCCAGTGTGGCATGAATTTCCTTATCTTCTTTTCTTTGGTGTTGTCATTAGATGCCAGGTCTGGCAGCATTTCTTGAGTCTCTCTCTGTTCTGCAAAAAAAATTTTTTGGCTCGGTATAGGTTATAAGACCTTTTTGGGTGGTATTTCTAATTACTAAATCATTAAAGAATCAACTAGAAGGACCTTGTCCGTCATTCTTGCTCAGCCACATGCTTTTCATATATGGCAAATATACATGTAATGAGTAACCACTCCATCAGTAAAATGAACATAGCCGCTTTTGAAAAAGAAACAATCGTATTGGAGAATTTGCATGGAAATAGTTCTGTCTATTCGTTCCAAAAATTAATGTTAACCTTTTTTAAGGTCAAGTAATACGGGAAACATTTTCGCACAACTTGTCGTGCAACATTGTTGCGTTGCAAGTTGAAAAGGGCTGTTGCCCGTATTACCATCTTCGCTCTCAACTTGTCATGCAACAAATTATGATGTTGCAAGTTGCGGTTCTTTAAAAAAATCATGCGTTTTGATTGGTCAACAGTGTGCTTTTGTGTCAGCAAACAAAATGGCTTGTTGACCCTCTCTGATTTCTTTTTTTAAATCCCTTGTCAATGCCGTTCTAAGACCCTTCTAAGGCTATGTATAACTAGACAGTTTGGTGAAATGTTAATTTTTTGACATAACTCATCCAGAGCTCTTGACCTCCGTGGCTTGTTTTTATACTCTGGTCAACAAGTTTCCCACAGACATGGGTGCTTTTCAAGTTCTTTGCACAAATCTTTTCTTTGGGCCTCTGACATTTTTTCACTAATAAATTCACAATCTTGGGTCTCAACATTCTCAACCTCCACAACCTTGGCTATGTTTACTTCCTGCCCAAGTCGGACATGCCCGAGGTCAAGCGCGCGCTTCCTCACCATCTTTCCCGCGTTTTTGATGCGGGAAAATTGACCAATCACAAGTGTTGTGAAGTGTAGCAAGTTGTGATGCAAATGATAAAATTGAAAGTTTGTTGCAAAAAGTAGAACTCAGGTCTACTTAGCGCAGCATGTTGCCACAACTTGCAACATCGAAATTTGTTGCGTGACAAGTTGAGAGGGAGGGTGGTAATACGGGCAACAACGCTTTTCAACTTGCAACGCAACAATGTTGCGCGACAAGTTGTGCAAAAATGTTGCCCGTATTACTTGACCTTTATGAGGAAACAATATTATTCTTTTGATTGGAGGTAGCTTTCATTACACATTTCAAATCGAACATGTTATTTTTCAAAAAGATTTTTCGATGAATCGATTGATCGTTGCTTCCTAAGGGATGCAGGCTGTGAATTATTATGTTTCCTTGAGAATTTTTATGCGTCAGGGACGCAGCACGCAGGGGTACCAAAATCACCGACACTGGGGACAGCAGACTTCAGACTGCAGATGGGGGGCAAAATGACTGTGTGTGAAAAGTGGGCTGCAGACCAAGGGTACTAAAATGCAGACTGCAGACTATAGACTTTTTATGTGAATGATATGACCATTTTTCACATCACCGTAAACAGGCTAACCTGAGTGTAGTATCCAGGCTAACTGGAGTGATATTCAGTCTAACCGGAGCACTATTCCATCTAACCAAAGTGCAGACTCCCTACAGTTAGCCTGAATGATCTTGTTTATGGTCAGCCCCCAATAATGGAAATAACATGATACATTGTACATATATGTTATAACTGTAGTCTGCATTTTACCCTCAGTCTGCTCTTAACCCCGGCCTGCAGTGCACGTTTTACTCTGACCATTTTCAATTCAATTGCCAGCAAAGTGGAAGTGAAATCTGAATGTTTTTGTACATTGCCCAATTACACAGGCCATCAAAGAATATTCAATATTGTACAGTCAGGTAACCACAGAATTGTTAAAAAACTATCTCCCTTAAAAAACTCCCTTAACCCTTTACTCCCTAAGAATGACTTGCAGACTTTACTCTGTCTAACGCCAGACGATTTTACTCGTCAAAGGGGAGAAGTCAGCTCGTACGAAAACTTAGGAACTGTATTTATATCTCTTGGTGAATATGACAAAGCTAAAGAGTATCTTGAGAAAGCACTTGCCATCAAAACACGAATTGTGGACAAACAGGGGGAGGCAGCAATTTACAGTAATTTAGGAACTGTGTTTAAGCGTCTTCGTGAATATGACAAAGCTAAAGAATATCTTGAGAAAAAACTTGTCATCAAAAAAGGGATTGGTGACAAAAGGGGAGAAGCCCGCTTGTACGGAAACTTAGGAACTGTATTTATATCTCTTGGTGAATGTGACAAAGCGAAGGAATATCTTGAGAAAGCACTTGCTATCAAGAAAGAGATTGGCGACAAAATAGGAGAGGCCACCTTGTACGGAAACTAAGGAACTGTGTTTCAATCTGTTGGTGAATATGACAAAGCTAAAGAATATCTTGAGAAAGCACTTGCCATCAGAATATAATTTGGTGACTTAAATAGAGAAGCCAGATCGTACGGAATTTTAGGAACTGTGTTTATATAGGGAAATGAAAGGACATCTGTCTGAAATGAGCTGTTAAGCTGGTGTTAGGTCTTATGTGGACTTTCACATGGTGACCCTGAATTTGTTATTGGGTAACTTTGAAAGGTCAAAACTGAGGTCAAATTTGCTGCCATATAGGTTTGGACCATTTTTCTCTCAAGAAACAATGGTCAGAACTTTGGCTACAGGATTGATACGACATATGGTCATTGCGTTTCGTCTGTTGTCCATCCGTCACGTTGTCTGTACATGTACATTTCCCCATCTCTGGCAATATCTCAGAATTTGTTAGAGTTTTTTTCCCGGGTACCACACGACTATTTAGCTGACGTTCAGCGATTAAAAAGATCCTATAGGGAGGCGAAGTCACCTGATTTCACATTGATTTTGGTGCCAAACAAACATACACCCTTTGTCTCAGACACGAAATGGGAGTTAAACTTTGAGTTTTACTCGCGTGAAACAAAATGTGTATGTTTGTTTGGCACCAAAATCAATGCGTGAAATCAGGTGACTTCACCTCCATATAAAAGTGATCTCAGGTCAGGTCGGCTGAGTGTATAAACTTTCTGTGTAAAACTGTACACACGTAAAACCCTATCAACAATTGCATTTTATATTTAATCCAGTCAGTATAGTGCATAACATATTTCAGCTGCAAGAAAATAATATAATGCATAATATATTTCAGCTGCAAGAAAACAAACTGCAACAGCAAATCATGGCCAAGTGGAGTTTCTCAAGAAGATTACTGGAGTTTCACCACGCTCACACAAGAGGTCGTCACCCAAATGCGTCGTGTGATCCAGAAAGCATCGCTAATGATTTCAGAACGTGTGGATGGCAGCACGCAAAATGTTTTCATAGTGCACATGCTTTGGACAGCACCGTTATGATTGACTACATGCGGGAACTTGATGTCAGACGAAGGGTTGACCCCACTGATGAGTTCGTCGACACAGTGTCAAAAGATGTGCACAAGATAGTTGAAGGTGTGATTGAAAAGTTATCAGCTGAGTTTCCAATTTTCAAGGGACGCCTTTTGAGGATGGGGAGTTCGCACAATGGTCTGAAAGTTGGGGCTCCTGATGAGTATGACTTTTGCTTAGAGCTGGACTTGGATAGCTTGCTGAGAGGAGCGGGCAAGTTCGAAGGTCTTGAGCAAGAGAAAGGCAGATTCATTCTGTATCTACAATTCGATGGCGATCCTGGCAACCATGACATTGTACACTTCATAGAGGAAGGAAATGTTGTCGAGATGCTATCACTCAACGGGGCGAATGATGCTCCACGCTACAGAAGTGCAGTTGGTAAAAGAGGAGACCGTTTCATCCTCAATACCGAATCGGTCGCCTTTGCTTTTTTCAATTCTGTTGACAAAGTTTTACGGGAGTACACCCTCCCTTTAAATTGGCAGTTCGGTGGCTTCAATCACCCAAATTTCAGTGGATTGCGACTGAACATGCCGGCATACACATTACAATTGGGGTACAAGCGACCTGATGATCAAGATACCCTCATGATTTCGGTTGACATTGCCCCGATACTTCTGTTTAGTTCAGATAATATAACGGTGTCAGAGCAAGATGTTGTAAACCATTACTTAAGGTCTAGTGACTATGCACATGACGTGTGGTTCCGACTGGATTGCGGAACTTACAAAGGTGCAGTTTTATCGACAGCAGAAGAAACATGGCTATCTACATATGACTTTGGCTCCATCGCTAAGACCAGCATCAGAATATGCAAGATATTACACAGCATGATCCCACTCACACTGCCGAGGTATATGCCGCGATATTTGGTAACTCAAATCATAGACTATCAGAAGCGGAAGATGAATAAAACTGCCACAGAGGAGGATCTTGAACTTGACTGTGAGTGGTTGATGAATAATTTGATGTCACTGCACCTGTCAACGGGAATACCACCTTGGACCGTTCATCACCTTGAAGATCCAGCACAGTACATAACATTCAGGGATCTGGGCGAGAATGTTGGTGGTCATGAGTATATATCTTCATATATTTACAAGCGCTTGGTGATGACATTGATGGCATTGGATGAACACGCTGGACGACACTGGACTGCCGCGGACCTTCCTAACATCATTGTCAGTGTGTTCTTATTCATCAACGACTTGATCTTCGCGGCCAATCAATCGACCATGCTTATAGTACCCGTCCAACTCAGTGAGTCTGATGATGGTTCAGAACAAGAAGAAGAAGACGATAGCTGGACAGAAGGCTCAAAACCCACTGTTGTTATCGGGCACTTAGACAACAAACCGGACCAAGCATTTAACTTGGTGAAGCGATCTGTTCTGGTAAAACAAGCTGGCGAAGCTGCATTTGCTAAGAAAGACACAGGTGATCCTCAACAAGAAGATCTTGAATCTGAATCAGATGATGGCGCCACTTTCCCTGAACCCCCGAGCATGTATGCGAAACTGAAATCAGCTTTGACCTCCGGGCAGTGTGCAGGAATAGCGAAACTCTTTTTGAAAGATGCTTATAGCAGACAAGGAAGGCAGCCCGGCTTGGATGAATACATTTCGTGCGTCCTGGAGACTATAGCATCAAGAGAACTAACCGGTGGCAAATACGTCCCGAAACACGTCCTCAATTCGGAAGAGGATCTAGAAGAGCTGAGGGATACTAAAAAATGTCTGGTCAGAAAGTCTGAGGTAAAGCTGGCATCTGTCGCTGCTTTATCTATCTAGCAGTGCTAAACTGAAATAGAAGCTTAAAATAATGCTCGTTTTGCTGAATTATGCTTAAAATTATGCTAGCACAGTCTACTAAAGCCTATGTGTAGGACTGATGAAGTTTAAGTCGGGAAACGTAAATTTAAGCAATTTAAGTAATATGAAATATTTCTCTGTTAAGAAACTGATCTGATCATGAAAATGTTCTCGAATATCGGGTAAGAATGATGATTACAAGATTCTGGTAAATTAATAACTTTTGAAATTGAATTGCATAATTGAATAGAATCTCGCATTCTGATTGGTTAACGAAGCGAGATAGTTAGCGTGGAATTGCGAGTTGAAAACGAGGCTGTGATATTGTTTCGCACCTACGTAACAACTATCGTCAAATTGTAACACAACAACTGTTTAAAAAGTTTGAAAACAAGTGTAAAAACACACACAAGGTACAAATAAAGTTGTCGAAGGTTCAAAGGTGTACGACTGACCTTGCTTCCTATTCGCTAACGCAATTACAGACTTTGAAATGCGTTTCTGGGGCGCGCGCCCACGATAAAAACAAACAAAATTATTGCTGTTTTCTTGTTTCCTTATTTTTATTCAATTATGCGATTCAAGGAAAATCTATTACCTGACTCGTGCATTCCGCGTTAAATTGCACTCGAAAACGGATATCTTACTGATCGCTTCGCGATTGTGCGATATCGGTTTTCGCGTGTAATTTAACGCGGAATTCACGAGTCAAGTAACGAATTTTCCTGGTTATAGAATTGCACATAGTCGCTCGCACAGTTATGTGTTGCAAGGTTAAACTTCATCCCCATTGTATGATTTGTTGTCTTCTTTTGTAATCATAGAGGTCGTTTATTAAGAGTAGCAGTTATATCTATTCTATTCACTAAGAAAACTTGATTTAAATACGTGTGGAGTGTTGTGTTGGGTTCTTTAGCCAAAGTCACCTTTGCGAGTGCGAGCGTCTATCGGAAATTGTCGTGTACCCTAAAAGAAGCGTAGTACTATATATATATAAAACAAGCCTGTCGTTAAACAGTTAACATAGTGCCATTTAGTTTTACACAATTAAAATGGATGGTAGACATTATTTCCACCTACTAATCACAAGCCCCCCCCCCAAAAAAAAACTGCCATTTCTATGACCGAATTTGAAGTGCCAAAAGCTTTGAAAGGTTTGAACCTAGTATTCATTTCAGAAGGCACTCGCATGAACGTAGTCCTGAATAGAACTGTCGTTAACATTAAGTGACGTTTCGAAAACCTGTGCGGTAGTTATCTTCAGAGTCAAAGTGAGTTGTATCACGTCAGTTGGTGGCATTAAACTCTGGTTATTGACCTGATTGGTCAATCAAGTCGCGATCAAGATATAAGTCGTTTATAATTAGGTGCCGGTAACTGTTGACTACGATTCAGTAGCGTTTGTTCCCAGTTAAGGCAAGAAAACCAGCTTTCTAAAGTGAGTCAATGATAGTAGTCTGTAGAATACGTAACACATGTTGCAGTCCCAGTCGATATGATTTTTTTTCTGAAAGATTATAAATGTTGTTCATCAATGTGACTGTTGTCATTGTTGACATCACCATTTCTTGTCGCTCGTTTGTGTTCAGTCAGTCGCGTGCCAAGGTTTCTGACGGTCTTACTGATATGGTAAGTGGCCTGCCAGTCACAGCATTCGATCTTGGATACTGGAAGGCTTTTGTTATTATATTAGTGTCACAAGTCATATTTTCTGTCTTTGTGAATACTGAAGAATTAAAGACCTCTTGGTATTGCGAATGCCGATTCCCAACCCAGCGAAAAAGGTTGAAACTGATTCTTTATTTTTTTCGCTTTTGCCCATGGCATTGCGTTCTAAATTGGCCATAGAAATTAACAGTATTTTAGTCAGACAGGCCTTTTACATATTGGACTGACACTTTGATTTATCGCCTCTTAAGACACAATCACCTGATCCACTAAAATACTACTGCACTGACCATGCGCGTAAAAGAAAAAGAAAAGACAAAGAACAATTATTAAGAAAAGCGGAACTTGCCGCTTTGTCGTCATTTCGGATGGTCATTCTTTAGTCAAGTCCTACTTCTTTGCGGAAATATGGGGAGAACGTAAGTCGCCTTTTTTACTTTTTCTGTGCTATACGCTCCGCCCGCTATAATTTATTGCTTGAGCGGAGCGCCAAGTAAAGTATTCGCGACGCTCAGGAATGTCCCAAAGTTGCTTTTTTGAGACAAGATTGGGCACGTAAAGTTCGTGAGTTTTCAGTTTGAGTCGGTTATTTGACGAAGTGAGAGCGGAATTTGTTCGAGATATTTCGAGATCACTTCGAGTTCTTTAATTTATTTGTAATGAGGAAGAAATAATTATTACTTTTGGGTCGAACCCGGGGTTTGAACCGACTCATCTGCGACGTCTCGTTAGATCAGATGAGACTCTAAGTTGAGGGATCAGCCGATTGGGCCACTGCGACGGCCAAGGTAGTTTGAAATGTGAAAAATAGCTATAAATTATGCACTAGTTACTTGGCCGGAGGCGCCAAGTAAACGGTTTGCGACGCTCAGGGATGTCCCAAAATTGCTCACGAAGCCATAGGCGTGCGGGCCGGGGGAGCGAGGGGGGCTGCAGCACCCCCCCCAAAAGTTTGGCCAACTCAGATGTTTTGGGCAACAAGAGAAATTTGGGCAAAGCCAGTTTTTAAAGACGTTTCCATGTTTTTTATTATTATTATTATTTTGAAGAGATAAATATTTTCTATTTTAACCAGAAGTCGGCGTAATAATTCAGTAACGTTCACACGAGACAGTGGTTGCCTAGCACTTGATGAGTTTCTGGTTATAAGGGAAGGGTATCATATGCTGATTTTTTTTTTTGTTGGGCACTGTACTTCACTGCACTTACTGGAGTGGGCGATTTCCAGTCATGAATTGATTAGAATAAACCTCCGCATAACTTTCTAGAATCACCTCCGCTCCTAGAACAATGTGTGGCAGAACACGCATCAGCAATGGGTCTGAAAGTGAAGTGGCTGACTAATTCTCAGTTTGAATTACGAGAAGAATCATAATTTTCTTAAAAAAATCTATCGAGTGGTTTAAAAATTATTCACTAATTTGTTTAAGTAGACCGAAATGTTTACGAAACCCCTAACACGATCGAGCGCTAATCAAATCCTTCCTTATAGCAATTGGCAGGAGTTATCTCCATGATCTTTCATACACGTTTTTAATATGATTGAAACTACTGTGAGGTGAAATTGCATGTCAAAAGCGCTCCGTTTTCTTCAGATTACGACTAAACATCAAGATTCTCCTTTTTTACCTTATTTCTAACAATAAAAACTTCATCCCAAAATATCTCGATAACGCTCTTACAGTTCCGTTTTAACTTCACGAACGTCGACTATTGGAGGAAAGAGCTCCCCTGAACGATTTTGTAAGAACAGTTCCCAGTAAGAAATATTGCTGCAAGTATAATAGGTAATGGCGTTATTTCGTTGCTATGACAGCTCCGATGTCATTGCAATCCTGATCATGACAAATTTCCCTCTTTATCTAATACACCTGTAGTGGCAATTTTTTCCAAATGCTTGTTTGTGGCCACGTAGTTTATGCTCAAACTTGGCAGGTATTGACTCTGAAAAACTGTATCGAGCCACTTTCATATGCCACTGCGGCCTATTTTGTTGCATGGCCCTAGTTTCCTTTCGACTGTTTTGTAAAAATTTGGGCAACTTGCAAGAATTTTTTGGGCAAATGGATTACCGCCCCCCCTGGCAAAAAATTGCCCGTACGCCTATGCACGAAGCTCACGAAGTGAGACCGGCATTACTTCGAGATCACTTCGACTTCTTTCGACTACAATAAATACTTTAATTTAATCGAGGAATAAGTAATTATTTGTTTTGACGTGCGACTCACCCGTGATCGGTCAACTCAGTCGCTGAGTTGACGGATTAGCCGATTGCGCTACCGCAAACTAATGTGGTTTCTCATATGAAAATTAGCTGTAATATGTGCACTGGTGGGTTCCGTGCGGAAATGGAAGATAGGGGACAAAAACAATCGCTAAGTTCAATTGAAAACGGTTGGAAGGATAAATAAATGGTTTAAAATGGGGAAAGTGGTGAAAATTACTTGGTTTGCCGAAATATCTTGACTTCTGGTTTAAAATTTGAACGATACCCACAGAAGCTACAAGCGTTGGTTCGCTTGCTTCCTGGCAAAAAAGTCAAAGTTCTATCATTTGTGGTCTTATGAAAGTACCAAGGAAAGGCTTTGAAGAATTTTCGCTGGTGTTTTTGCATCGTGCACACTCAGCTAGTCGCGTCGTTCCGAAGGCCTAAAAAGATCGATGTGGGCAACGCAAGTTTAACCGCTGACCTCCACGTGCCAAAACTTAGGATATTGCAGTCTCGTTTTCCCACGTACTTTGGATATCTTGGTGAGGGTGGACAATCTTTCGTGTTTTCTATCCTTTTTTCTCATTTTACCAAGCACACCTTTCATCGAATTTGGAAATATATCGTTTTTGAAGAATCTTGGAAGACTTTCAGTTGTTTCTGAAAAATTTTGATAGGAAATATGATCGTTAGAATAACAAGGTGTTTGGTTGTTTTGTATCATGCCTGGAGCAGCCATCAGTCCAACCTCCACAGTTTGCATTACAGCTCTTTCGAAGGAAAAGGCCAGAAAATTTTACGTGTTTCCTTTTCATTGATGATATTATGTATTTTAATGCTGGGTTGTTGGTGTTACCGAACTGTTTTTAATTATGATGAATTTAAATTACAAAATACTGCACAAAGGCGTTGTCTTTGTTAAATGTACCAATTTTGTTTGCTTTTGCTCATATGTCGAGAGCCAAAGGAGATTTCAACACTTGACAAATGCTTTTGGGTGTACAAAATGGTACAAAATGGTCACGTGACATATCACGTGACTTATTAACACAATATTTATTCTCTATAATGTTAAGAACGATAAGTTCTTTATGTGTGCCAA